AGTTTCCCTCCTACTCAAGATGGAATGATTACCGGATGCAATCCGTTTCGTGTAGAAATTGCACAACCAGGTCACGGCAGCGCTGACCTCGTTTTGAGACATTCGTATTTCAATTTCATTGAATTTGGTGTAGATAATTTTATCCGGGGATTATCAGGTAAATTTATTGGGTTTTGCAATTTTTACAATGAGAACGGTATTTATAGCTCGTATAAAGAATTGTTTTGCAATCGATTCCGTTACCCATTCCCGCCGTCAACTGCCCTCCCTGTTACATAAAAGAATCGAAGTAAAACCCCGTCTTGTTTCTCGAGAAAATATTAATTCCTTTCATTCCGAGTGTCCGGATATCCTGGAATATTATCCATAGAAAATCAAGGTCGTTTAACTGAATTTCCTTTGTGTTGGAAAATAAAAACAGGCAGGGGATACAGCCGATCAGAAACAATATATAAAAGCTGCAGTGCAAGGCTTTGCAATTTGTATAATGGTGCGATAGTGAAGGTATTTGATTCAACCGACGTCTTCTGCATTTTGCACAAGGTACGATTTAGTAATCACCATCAGCAACAACAACATATGAACATCGTTCACGCTCAAGTTAAGCTACACAACATGGTCATTCAGGAATTATTATTATTGAGTGTTCTGTCTTACGACAGGTCCATTGCTCTGCCCAAAAAGAGCTCTCCAGTTGTCCCTATTCTCGGCTTCTCGTTTTAATTCCTGGAACGTCATCTTCTTTCCTTGTTTAAGGTCGTCGGTTAGCTGTATCAATCTTCTTCCCAGTCCTCGCTTTCCTTCAACCTGGCATTCGATGATATCACTCAGAAACCCATTCCTTCTCATAATATGTCCCAGCCAGTTAGCTTTCCTTCGTGTAATCGCCTGCAGAATGTTTCTTTGCTCGTTGACTCTCCCATTCAGGAATACGGAAATATAAATATACTGTAGGCTTGTTACATTGCATGCCAGTGTCTTCGACAGAGCTCGAAATGGTGTGAGTGGTTGTAACACGACGTGTGAGCCCGTGCAAAACTTAGAGCCTAGAAGTAGCACCCACGTTCACAGAATCGAACATGGCCCATAAAAGAATCATGAAAGTAAAGCGACTTTCCTGAGTCACGTGGAGTAAATTTTGTGGTGTCGACAAATCCCAGAAATGTAATGAAATCATTCAGAATACGACAGTAGATAAATATATAATTAAATTCACCAGCGAAAAGACTCTGAAGGCATAGGCGTTCTTTACAGCATTAATGGCGTAACAAAAGTGTTCTGTAAACATACGGCTAAAAGTATATTTCTTTAACATCTCTGTTTTGGTTTTCCCAACAAACATTTTCTTTCAGGCTTAAATTTTAATGTTGTCCGATAATCCTGTATATCGTTCACCAGATTTGGTGTTGCTAGTACACTCTTCTCTCTCATAATATATTTCACGGGATTAACAGCAATATTAGAATGGTCGGTTTTTGCATGTAAAATCCCACCCTCTCTTTTAAATGTTCATTGTCCTTTTCATTTTAAAAATTTTCATCTGCATCACTAATATTTTTCATTGAGTCATTTATTTCTTAAACATTTAAATTTTAGTAGGGCCTACTTGTTAAATGAATGTTCACATTATATATACTTGATTTTTAAGCTCTCTTATCTTTATTTTCCTATGTAGAACTTAATAATTAAAATACAGCTCTAACAAACAAAAAAATTTCCTTATATTTTTATAGAGCCGGGGGTGGGGGGGGGTGGACGTGATTTATTTGGGTCCAATACTAGTCTGTTGTGGACATAGTAACGAATCTTCTGGTTCTACAAAATGTTTCTTGGTTATTTGAATGATAATAGCCTTCTCAAAAATTAGGGCTTACGTTCTCCACGCAATTTGTATTTCTGCCATGACAGTTCAAGCTGTATGATACATACTTTTTGAATTAAGATAAACCATAACTACAAATACATCCATAGCGGATGTATTCTCACATTCCTAACTTGGCGTAATCAGCGGCAAATACAGAATGATATAAAAGTCACGCAACCCATCCCTGACACGTGATCTAACAAACCACCTGGCTTAGGGAACCCGAGGTTAACCAAAGCCCTCCACCGGTCCTTGTCCTGGGACAGCAAAGACACGTGTTCTATTTGTCACAAAAATAAAATACTGAAGTCAGAAAAAATGTTATATCGAGTTAGAAAAGTCCATCGCATTTAGCGAAGGTAGATCGGAACGGATTGTATCCTACATTCTTCCTGTGCTATGTAAGCGGTTCTCCAGACGACATATTTTCGATTTGTTTGTCACAGGGGATTCGGGAAATATATCCATAAACTAATTCTGGATAGTTAAGAAATAGATGCAAGGTACTGCTCGACAATGAACACCCTTTACACTTGTGAAAAGTTATACATCCATATACTTCGACTATTTGAAGACAACTTACGGACTGGCGCAAGCTATATTAATAACATGATGTGTCCTGCTTCAACTTTTTCATACTCATTTCGATACAGTGTGTGTATTATTCAGGAATACGGAAATATAAATATACTGTAGGCTTGTTACATTGCATGCCAGTGTCTTCGACAGAGCTCGAAATGGTGTGAGTGGTTGTAACACGACGTGTGAGCCCGTGCAAAACTTAGAGCCTAGAAGTAGCACCCACGTTCACAGAATCGAACATGGCCCATAAAAGAATCATGAAAGTAAAGCGACTTTCCTGAGTCACGTGGAGTAAATTTTGTGGTGTCGACAAATCCCAGAAATGTAATGAAATCATTCAGAATACGACAGTAGATAAATATATAATTAAATTCACCAGCGAAAAGACTCTGAAGGCATAGGCGTTCTTTACAGCATTAATGGCGTAACAAAAGTGTTCTGTAAACATACGGCTAAAAGTATATTTCTTTAACATCTCTGTTTTGGTTTTCCCAACAAACATTTTCTTTCAGGCTTAAATTTTAATGTTGTCCGATAATCCTGTATATCGTTCACCAGATTTGGTGTTGCTAGTACACTCTTCTCTCTCATAATATATTTCACGGGATTAACAGCAATATTAGAATGGTCGGTTTTTGCATGTAAAATCCCACCCTCTCTTTTAAATGTTCATTGTCCTTTTCATTTTAAAAATTTTCATCTGCATCACTAATATTTTTCATTGAGTCATTTATTTCTTAAACATTTAAATTTTAGTAGGGCCTACTTGTTAAATGAATGTTCACATTATATATACTTGATTTTTAAGCTCTCTTATCTTTATTTTCCTATGTAGAACTTAATAATTAAAATACAGCTCTAACAAACAAAAAAATTTCCTTATATTTTTATAGAGCCGGGGGTGGGGGGGGGTGGACGTGATTTATTTGGGTCCAATACTAGTCTGTTGTGGACATAGTAACGAATCTTCTGGTTCTACAAAATGTTTCTTGGTTATTTGAATGATAATAGCCTTCTCAAAAATTAGGGCTTACGTTCTCCACGCAATTTGTATTTCTGCCATGACAGTTCAAGCTGTATGATACATACTTTTTGAATTAAGATAAACCATAACTACAAATACATCCATAGCGGATGTATTCTCACATTCCTAACTTGGCGTAATCAGCGGCAAATACAGAATGATATAAAAGTCACGCAACCCATCCCTGACACGTGATCTAACAAACCACCTGGCTTAGGGAACCCGAGGTTAACCAAAGCCCTCCACCGGTCCTTGTCCTGGGACAGCAAAGACACGTGTTCTATTTGTCACAAAAATAAAATACTGAAGTCAGAAAAAATGTTATATCGAGTTAGAAAAGTCCATCGCATTTAGCGAAGGTAGATCGGAACGGATTGTATCCTACATTCTTCCTGTGCTATGTAAGCGGTTCTCCAGACGACATATTTTCGATTTGTTTGTCACAGGGGATTCGGGAAATATATCCATAAACTAATTCTGGATAGTTAAGAAATAGATGCAAGGTACTGCTCGACAATGAACACCCTTTACACTTGTGAAAAGTTATACATCCATATACTTCGACTATTTGAAGACAACTTACGGACTGGCGCAAGCTATATTAATAACATGATGTGTCCTGCTTCAACTTTTTCATACTCATTTCGATACAGTGTGTGTATTAATGCAGTCGAAATTTATCGAATTTCAACCATCGATAAATATTTTAATATGGGTTGCGTGACTTTTAATCAGCCTGTATCCGCACCCCGTCGTCAGTTTTATTCGATGTATAAATTGGAAACATGCTGTACTTTAATACTACACTGAAAACACATTCCGTGGCCACCACAAAATAATTAAGTAATATCGCCACGTGGGAAACATAACCTACACTGACCTTCATCTACTGGGGTCAGACTTCTTTGCGGGTCGGAGACGGACACATGCTGGTGACGAGACGTGAAGCAGAAACCTTACAATTGATACACAGTCGGCAACACTGCACGGGCTCTGAACCCGGACTGCATCTCTAAACTACACGTTACAGAGCGTCCACTTTTGTTGTTGGAACATGCCAAAACGGTTGCCATGACAACACCCTACCAACCAATAAGAACCCGACGGGCAACTCGACTATCGATATGTTCACAGTTACAAAAATTCTTGGAAGTATGTGTGGGGGCTTTGTAGCCATCTTATCACTTTGGAATGTTGATTGTAGTTGTTTAATGGCACTATATCAACCACTGTGGGCAATCAGTTGATTATTAGGTTATTTCTTTGGTGCTCAGTATAAATTTACATAAGGCCTTTAAATTGAGTACCAATTTTTTTACGGATCCGTTTCAGTTGCTGAAGAAATGAACAGTCGTATAATATTAGAAAATTATTGTGAATGGTTTGGGATTTGTAAGGTGACAAGCAGCCTGCTTTGAGGCCCTTTTCATGAATTCAACACCGACGAAGTCGCAGCTCTGAAAGTCACTGACGTGAGAAGTTATGAAGTAGCTCATGCGATGGCAGCACGATCAAGGGCACATATCCCCGCACATTCGATTACTTCTATCGACTTATCGATTCCTGAAGCCTATGATGGTGCAGTTCGAAATACCTGCCATGTAGAATCACACACAGTCCAAACTATAATACTGATGATGTTTTTAAATGCAAGGCGACAGAACGATAAATGGATAGATTCTTCTCTTTTATTATTTTGATGCTGTATTGCTGAAAGTGTCATACTTTATATCGTCATTGTTTTTACTTACTTATTGGAGTAAACACGTGATGAACGACTATAATTTAGTTTGTCATTATTTATTAAAAAAGTGTGAGAATTTTTGGGAGGGAGTCTGTGGTGCGAGAAGGGTTGAGAAATTCTGATATGTTAAGCGTTTTTACAGCATTTTAGGCCTATATTGAACATGAAAGAAATGTTCATTATTGAAAAAAGTTGATATTGGAACCACGGTTCCGGAGAATCTGATGTAAGTACGTCTCTGTAATGTAATGAAATGTAATGTAATGCAATAATTCTTATATAAGATAAGTACTTGTGATATTCTAAAACGTTTTTACCAGCACAAAATTATCTAGTATACGATGCACTTGTTCTACAAGCGATTCACAGCTCAGATCTTTCCGCAGTAACCAAAGTGGATTATTGACGGCAGAAATGTAACACAACAGTGCCTAGTAAACAGATCACGTAACAATTAGTTTCTTAGATAACATAATGCATTGTCGGTCCATATTTACACATTGTTGATATGGATATTAAACATGTTCGTAACGCTGTTTATGCCGAATGATCCTTCCATATAAACCTATTTACGTCAAAATTTTATCAATCGTCTTTTTTGCATCCGATTTCCATCGTCATACCTCTCATTAAGTAGTTGTATATTACTACACGAATATCACAAAATAATATTCCATATATTGGAATGAAAATTAATCGGGGGTATAGCTCAGTGGTAGAGCATTCGACTGCAGATCGAGAGGTCCCCGGTTCAAACCCGGGTGCCCCCTTCAATTTTTTTTATGTTAACATTTATTATTTTACAGGATTTTTCGCGTTTTCTTTGAATGTTTTGTGTTTCCAGTTTTACTTTCACATTTTTATTGCTTACGAGGTAGATTTTTCAGAGTATCAAATTATTGTGACGTGGTCCGGTGGTGTTTTGTTTCTAACGAAAGTTGTCTTGGGAATGGCGATGACAGGGATGTGGCTATTGTGAAGTGAGAGTACTTTAGTAAATAATTCACGGTTTTCTTTTGTTGTTCCCTTTGTGTAAATATTTAATTAACACAGCTCTCAGAGATGAATTTTAATGCAACATCTGGTGCAAGATATCGTAAGTGTAGGTGATCACAGTGAAATAAATTGTGGTGAATAGATGAGTGGGCCATGAGTTTGCTAATTGATATGTATTTTAATTGATTCGTAGTTTCATTAAGATAAAAGTGAATTAATTCTGATTGTGTTACATATTTATTTAAACTTTGTATTTGTCAGTATGTTATAGCAGTTTCAATTTGTATGCATTTTTGCCGGTTGCATATGTTTTAGGTTAAGTTACTTATACCGTGTATGCAGAAATGTTTTTGTACAGAGATGCAATCTTTAGTTTTGAATGTAGCTTATACTTATTATTTAATTAACACGCGTTATTACAAGAACAGTTGCTTTAGTAGCAGTAGTGCTGTATTCATGAGCATGTGTGACTTGTTTCACCACATATTGTTTCATTTGTGATATAACCCGACATATGACAACTATTATTAAAATAATACAGAACTAGGTGTAGATTGTAGGAGCAGTGTAGATTAGAAAATTGTGTTTGTTGATGATGTGTGCTGCTTATTATTTACTAGAAGTAGAGATTTACCATGTAGTAATACTAAAGTGTTGCTTTTATTTGTGTATTTGAAGGTTATGGGAAATTTGAGTTAATTTCATGAAGGCAATCAGAACAGTGATTATGTCAAAATTTACTTCTGTTACACTTTTTATAGCCAATTTAGATTTGTCATTATAATGACCACTTTTGGTATAGTTTATAATAACATTACTCTTTCCTAATTTAAGTTGAATTACATCACATAAGACTACAATTTTTTTACTTTCCACCAACTTAACAATAATCTTAGACCTTTTTGGATAGATTACTGTATTTTCTATATAGAAGAATAATCCAATAAGAATATTAAAATTTTAAGTAAATTATATATCTGAATTCATATTTTGCTTTCATGCGATTTGAGGTTCTAACAGTACTGACAGTTTAAATTGTTATCTGACCTCATGCACAACCATTATTTTACATGGACAAAATTTAATTAGTTATGTGGCTTTGAAGGCAGATATCACTCTGAAATAAATTTCATGTTCCAAATGCCTTTATAATTTGTGATGCCTGACCTGTAACTGTGCTTGAATGTCTGGAACTGTTTTTTCACTTAACACATTCCTCGTGTGTTGTCTTGTTTCATCACAGACTAAATTCAGAGATCAAGCACATTTTGTTAAACTTCAATACAAGTTGCTTTTTCAGGGACTATTCTTGTTAGTAGTATTTGTGATTGAACCTCAAACTACACTTTCTTGTAAAGTATTTATCTATGAACTCTCACTTTTAAATTGTGTGCCCTGTTCAAAGAATGACGGAATTTTGTCCTTAAGATAAAAGAAGTCCGAGTACATTCAGTCACTACCATATTGATCACAGCCAAAACATTCACACTGTTTATGGTATTACTAAGATTCCTTCCCATGCGGACTCCTTGTACCTCTGAGGACAATACCCAATCTTATCACATTGTAATTAAATCAGCTGTTAGAGAATCATTAGATGTTAGTGTACAGATATTAAAAAAATTTAAGATTGTTCATTTTCTCCTATCTTTATATTTTGTTACCGGAGTGTTTTTTGGAAATCTCCAGTTTTTTCTCAGTGGTTACTTTCCATCAAGTACCAGAAACAGCACGTAACTGTAAATTAATTTTGCACATTTAATGTTTATTTGTTACAGCTGCTCAGAAAGGAAGCAGAAAGAAGCGTGTGAGTGATACGGCTGCTATAAATGCTCCTGCCTATCCTCCCGCTTATCCTCCTTCATATCCTCCTCCATATAATCCTTTTGCTTCAGCAGTGCCAGGAACCGTGCCACCTAACATGAGTGCGTATGATGACAGAAATGCAGTTCCACCTCCATATGCTTCTAGTCCAGGTAATATGCAGTTAACACTTCTGCACTTATATTTACTGTACTGAAACTGTTGATGATGTTAATGTTACAAAGGCCTGTTTCAAAACTTTGGTGCATATTGGCCATGCGCTTAACTTATGATCTGTAATGGATGTGGAATGTGTTACGTTGCGCTACATTGCAGTATCATTACTGTGACAGAATGAGTATTTTTGTAACATTAAGTGATTTTAATTAAAAACCTCTTTAAAATTGTAAGATTTTAGGTTTTCACAGCAGTTAAATCTTCGGACTGCAACTAAACCACACTCGCGGCATGTCACCGTCTAACCTCATCGCCCTGATGACGGAGGCAGTATGACCTCTGAAAAGTTGGTTAACATCGACCAGACTACACAGCGCAACAACCCAGAAGACAGAAAGCTTCATACTCACTGCTGTGAAAACCTAAAATCTTACAATTTTAAAGAGGTTTTTAATTAAAATCACTTAATGTTACAAAAATACTCATTCTGTCACAGTAATGATACTGCAATGTAGCGCAACGTAACACATTCCACATCCATTACAGATCATAAGTTAAGCGCATGGCCAATATGCACCAAAGTTTTGAAACAGGCCTTTGTAACAAAATTGTTACTGGTGTACACCATAATAATGAACAGAAGGAGCATAATTGTGCATTTTAATATTTGTTGTTATTTTGTTTCATGAACAGATTATTCACACATGCATGCAAATGCTCCACCAATGGACCAGGGATATTCCATTCCGGGTCAATTCTTGAATGAGCCTCTTGTAGCAAATGTTGCAATGCAATATGGCCAAGCATTGGTTGGCTCGGGCAGGCAGCTGGTTGATCGAGAACTTGAGAAGTACATCCCCGTTTCGAGGCTCAAGTACTATTTTGCTGTTGACACAAGATATGTCTTAAAGAAACTGGGACTTCTTTTTTTTCCCTTCGTTCATTCAGTAAGTTCAAGTTGGAGGGCAAAGCTGTTTTTATCGGGTTCAATGGAGATAGGTTCCTTGGACCCACAAATGAACAGCTAATAAACGATACAAATTCATGCATAAGCACTAGTAATTCATTAAATCTATGTATTATATGCTGTAATAGTTACAAATACTTGGCAAATTTTTATATTTATTTGTGGGTTATTTAATGGCACTGTCATTAGCTTAGACTAAAATTGTTTAATGATTAGGTTAATTAGTGAATAACAAATTGGAAAGAATATGAAAAGAAGTGGTTCGTGGCATAATTTAATTTACTAATCCTATTTTCTGGAGGGACTGAGAAAAACCACAAACATCTCTGTTAGGGAATCGGATGTCTGGACCGTGGTTTTATGGTAGATGAGGCGATGTACTCGTCATGACATGAAGACTGATTAGCAAATCAGTCAAGTTAAAATGAAAATAATAATCTGTATTTCGTTAACATTTTTCCATGTATAATGCATACCACCTTTTTAAAAAAAATGCTTTACTTTTGCTGATGATTCAAGTAGATAGAAGGCCAGCCAGCTGAAGAACACGGCTCTAAATTTTGTTTAATTTGAACTGCATCATAATAAGTACCTGAAACTTGTGATTCAAGGAAATTTAACTTACTTTTTTGTCTTCAGGATTGGTCTGTTAAATATGAACAAGATGGACCTGTTCAGCCTAGGTATGAAATAAATGCTCCAGATCTGTACATACCTACAATGGCGTATGTGACATACGTCCTTGTTGCTGGAGTAATACTTGGTATGCAAGATAGGTATGTATGAGTGGAGGTTGAACTCCACGTGTTCTTGTTATCAGTACTTTGTGGTGGGTGAATGGAGCAGTGGATTTGCTTATCTAATGTTAAGGCACTGGACTTCGGTGCAGAAGGTCTCAGGTGAATGTGACATCACTTTGGTCTGGATATTATACTGAGTTTCTCCAGTAGGTCTTCATCTTCATTGTTATCCTGTGAGTCTGATTAAAGTTAAAAATCCTGGCCAAAAATTATATTTCTGTTTGTGTCTTAATCTTTGAGAATGTTGTGTTTTTGTCGATATTTTCAGGTTTACTCCAGAAATATTAGGCATTCAAGCGAGTTCAGCGCTTGCCTGGACAATATTTGAAATAGCAGTAGAACTGATCACATTGTATATAACCAACATACAGACCAACCTGAAAACATTGGATCTGTTAGCATTTGGAGGTTATAAATATGTTGGGTAAGTCGAGACAAGTTCTGATTTTTGTCGACTTTGTTCTGCTTTTAGTTTGAAAACACTGCACTTCTGTACTTATAAATTTGGAGCTCTTTCCATTAAGTTTTCAGTTTGTATAATTCTGTCTCAAATATCTCAGAGCTCACATTTTATCTCTTTAACAGTTTTTATCGAGCCGGCGTAGCTCAGTCGGTATAGTGACTGGCTACGGACTGGGTGACCGGGGTTTGATCCCCAGCGGGGGCAGAGGATTTTTCCTCTAGCCTCTGCGTCCACGCCGGCTCTGGGGCCCACCCAGCCTCCCCTCCC